AAAACATTAAGCAAAGTTTGGCCTGGCCACTGTAAGTACTTCAGAATCTGGTAAATCAGTAGTGGGCATTTTCTCCTTGCCATAAACCAGGTAGCAGGCCTGTGTCTACAGGTGACAGTGACAATACTGTAAGGTTTGTGGTTCATCCTCTAGAGAAGATATGAAGTCAGAGCTTACTAACCTTTTACAGCTACTGAAAATGCTCTGACAATGTGACTTTTCAAATACAAACAGGCAGCTGCTGTAGTTTAGCACTGATGATTCTAAAATATCCAGTTATTTTTCTCTGTCTCTGCTGGGAGGATTAAATTATAATTCTTGCCTTAGTGCTACCAAAAAAATGAGGCTGAGCTGATGTGGTTGGCATATACTAGATTTACGCTGATGTAGTAGACACAGAATTATATTCTGCCTTCTCTTAATTCCTGTTGTGTATTGCTATAGGTACAAAGAAGTGTAAAGGTACCTCATATAATAGTTGTAAAAAAGGATAAAAGGGGCTCTAAAAATATAATAGACTTAGTCCTCAGCAGGTAGAAATTGACTTTTATGGAATTACATCAGATTATACTATTTGGGATTTAAAAAGAGCCAAATTCTGTTCCCTGTTACAGCTTTCTAAATCTGCAATTAACCAGTTCAGTAAGTAAACGATGTAAGAAAAGGCATTGTTTCTGTATTATTTGCTATTAGTTTATTGCATTACTATTATGAACAGCTATGCCTTTAACTGGGGCAGGTTTAGTTTTTCACTAGTAAGCTTTTACGTTTTATTACCTTATCAATAATTAATGTACATGAATATGTAATAACCAGCTATTTAATTAATGCATTCAACATTGTGAGACTAGTGAGAAGTAAAATCTATACTCTTTTTAGAAAAAGAATTTCAAATATGGGGAAATTTCAATTGCAGATTCCTTTTCTCTGTTTTTTACTTAATATCATAATCAGATCAATGACTCAAAGTTATAATTGATTTCCACTTTGTATCTTTTAAGGAAAGATGGCTATCTAGAGAAGGAAAGATGAATAATAATTGCAATAAGTATGTATTCTTAAAAATATAGCATTGCTTAAGATAAAATTCTGAAACTCCTGTCTCCCCTTTGGGAACACCAGCAAAAGGAAGGTAGGTGGTACTACACCTCTAATATAGAGATATTTGCATGTGGCTGTTGTTAAGAATGGGAACGTTAAAAATGTTCAGTGAGACTATTAATTTACTTAATATTAATCATCTAAAGGGTTTTCTGATTTTACTCTTTGTCTCCACATGCTAAAATCTCCTGTGTAAACAGGAACACGAGAGGGCATGTGCCAGGAGATGTGGGTAATTTGCTGTAAGTGTTTAGCAATATATGGCTCCTTTCCGAGGTCAATTTCTGTCTGGGTAAAAATGTCCTGTGATTTCTGGAGTGCAAAATATTCTCTCTAACACTGGATTTCTTGTGGTTTACATCTGAAAATCCAATCCAGTAGGAAAAGAAAAAAAAGCTAATGTTATTTTCAAGTAAAATAATGCTTGTCATTATTATGGTAATACCATCTTTGTATACCTCTCTGAGGTAAATACTCTTTTGTTAGATTAAGGCTATATAGAAGAACTCCAGGCAAAGGATCGTGTTGCATTCTTCTTTCTTCTGTAATTTTAGCTGTTACCCTATTAGACTAAAATACCACCTACTGCTTCTAGATAGATCTGTGACTTAGGAATGGTGTCAATCACATAGTATTCACAAACAAATCAGAATATTGCCAAACTTTATCAGGTGATTCCTCTTCATATGCGGCACCAGCTCTTCCCAAGTCAAGATTATAGTAATATTTTTTATAAGTGTGGTTTTGCCATTGGTCTGAAAACCCTACACATGATGGAAAGGGGTAGAATTCCCAATAAAGAAAAAAAGAGGACAGAGTGGAATAGTAAGACAAATTGTGTTGGTGATAGAAATTTTCTGTTCTTTAGTCCTTACATTAGTAAGCAATTCAGCAGCACACAGAGTTCTGCTGATAAAAACATAATATACTCCCCTGCTTGTCAGGGGAACAAGTATCTTACTGTGCAAGTCACTTTGATTTTTTAAAAACATTTTTGGAAGACACTTTGCTACCATGCTTGCCCCCTTACAAATGAGATGGAGATAAGCTGATTCAGAGTGCATAAACAATTCCAGCTTTTTTTTTTTTTTTCAAAATGTACTTACAGTTCTCTTGGCTTCCATCACCATGAATAGAGCAAATTGGTTACCAGTTTCCCTGTCTCCATTGTATTTCTTCAGTGCTGCATCAACAGCTTGAAAGACATCAGGGTCATCACAGTCCGAAAACTCAAATGCAAGAGGAATGGCTCTGCTAGAGAAAAAACTACAGCAGAGTACTAGTACAATGAAAGCCCTCATAACTGGATGAAAAGGGCACCCTGAATTAGAAGGCTCTTTAAGAACCAAATGGAAAAGGAATGCCTGACAGGATTTTAGTCACCTCTTCTCTTTTTCAGGAGCAGTAGTTAAGTAAACAGAATGAGTGGGTTGCTGGGGTTGGTTGGTTCTCATCATACCCTGTTTATACTACAAATAAACTTCTGAGTTTATCTAAATAAACTTTGTTTGTTCACGAGAATGACACTAAGGTTATCCACCTGCCATCAAGATAACAGGATAAATGGCTGCAGCTGGGGACCAGTTTAGGAAAAGTAAAGCAAAAGAGAAAGAAGTGGCTGCAGCTGGGGACCAGTTTAGGAAAAGTAAAGGAAAAGAGAAAGAAGTGGCTGCAGCTTTCTGACTTCTTAACACCTAAGCTGCCACTGAGAATGAATTTTACAAGGCTTAAATAAAATATCCATGAAGGTCACAGTGGCAATGAAGTTTTGGACAACAACCTTGTAAATTTTATAGATCTGTTTAGTGTTCAGATTGCAACAGTTCTGAGAACTGTAGTACTCAGAACATGTTTGAAAATCTTTGGACACATGCGTACGGTTGAATGTCACATAACCCTTCAATAGCACTTGATAAACCTTGTCCTTCACGGTCCTTTTGGGAAGTCCATCTCTGCTGCCATGTGGAGACTGCCTGGTTTAAGGATTAGTCAGTGATCATAGTGCTTTGTTATTGTTACAGATATGTGACACACAAGAACAAAGGATTAAATGCTATCGTCTGAGTCTGGTCAAGCCAGGATTAGAGATGGCTGAGAACTGGTACTTGTCTCCCCTGTGTGGCACCAAATAGTTTTGCTTTGAGTCTGTGAACACCTTGGGATTGCCTTGGCTCCTGTGTTCCAGCTGTTTCTTGCTGTATTGCATTTGTGTGGCAAGGTTTTGATAACAGCGGTGGCTTCTGTGAGAGGCTGCTGGAAGCTTCTCCTATGTCTGACAGAGCCAATGCCAGTCAGTTCCAAGATGGATCCAGTTCTGGCCAAGATTGAGTCCATCAGTGCTGGTGGTAGTTCCTCTGGATAACATAGTGGTGAAGGAAAAAAAAAGGAACTGGGAAAGAAGTGGGGAGAGAAGAGTGAGAATATGTGGGAAAAACAGCTATGCAAATCCCATGGCCTGTGAAGAATGTGTGGGAAGAACTGCTGTGGGTGAGGAGCAGAGATTTTCCTACAGCCTATGGAGCAACCATGGTGAGGCAGCTGTGCCCCTACAACCCCTGGAGGTCAGTGGTGGAGCAGGGATTCCCCTGCAGCTCATGGAGGACCCCACACCAGAGCATGTGGATGCCCAGTGGAGGCTATGACCCTGTGGAAGCCTGGGCTGGAGCAGTTTGTTCCTAAAGGACTGCACATCATGGAAAGGACATTGGATCAGTTCATGAAGGACCACTTCCAATGGGAGGGATCCCAGGCTGGGGCAAGGGAAGAGTGTAAGGAGTCCTTATCCTGAAGAAAAGGAAGGGGCAGAAGCAACATATGATGAGCTGATTGCAACTTCCATTCCCATCCCCCTACATCAGGTGACGGAGAAGGTAGAGAAAATCAGGAGTAAATTTAAGCCTGGGAAGAAGGTGTTTCAAAGATACTTTATTTCTCATTCTCTTACTCTGGTTTGATTAGTAATAAGCCAATTTCCCTGAGTCCAGTCAGTTTTGCCTGTGAGGATATTTGGTGAGTGATCTCTCTATCCTTACCTTGACTCATGAGCCTTCTGTTACATTTTCTCTTCCCTGTCTGGCTGAGGAGGGCAGTGACAGAGCAGCTTTATTGGGCACCTGGCACCCAGCCAGAGCAAACTCACCACACTTGTTACAAGTTTTAAGTGGATAAACTACACCAGAAATAAGTTTGTTCATACACCATAACAGGCTTTTAAAAATTAGTCAATCTTCACTCAGTCACGCTGTCCTCATTTTGTTTCTTTTTCTTCAATGTGGCCTTTGCACTGTGTTTCACTTTATGATACTAAAAAGCTATTTGGATGATCAAATTACTAACTTTTCTTGAGATTGAGCTTGAGAACCCCATATTCTTGCTGATGACATAGCTGTTCTGAACCATCTTGCTGGTCCCTGGACAGTCTGAATGGACTTGACCTTGATGGGGGCTGGAGTATAAGGAGGCACCACTATTCTTTCTTCCTGCTCCTCCCAACTCAGATTCCAGTGAGGAAGGTTCAGCAATAAAGAAAACATTTACATGAAAGAGTTATTACATGCATCTGCTTTTCTCTTCCCCTGAGAGCAATTATGAACTATTTGAGAAGGGCTGTCCTTGACTACAATATTTCTATGTATCACCACCAGCAGCTGTAGCGATGGAAGCACCTGTGCAGGCCACCCTGCAGTGAGACAGCAAGTCATTAACTGTTCTCAGACCCCTTCTAGATAACAGTGCTAACCCAAACACCATTAGTCAATCTATGCTAGAATTTGCTTTGTGGATCTTTAATACCTAAATAGCTTAATAGTTTAATATAATTTCTAGTTCAATATCTAATAGCTAATTATGTGTAGTACAAAAAACCAAAAAAAGCCAAAAAAAACCAAAACACGCAACTATGTCAAGAAAAAAATGCTTGTATTTTTATTTTCTATTAATCTGTATAAAGCATGAATATAAGTTTTATGGAAAACAGTCCAATTTCCTCTAGGTCAGATTCCTTGTAGAAGTGCATTATAGTTATGAATGATGAAAAAAGAAAGATTTTAGATGGTAATTTGCACTATTAGAGAATTTTCCTTTTTGTTAGAACTGAAGTACCATCATTTTCTGGGGAGATTTTTACCCATTCACATTACCTAAGGGACTCAGAATTTTGAGCCTTTCAGTTACAGTGGAGCTTGAGATAGCCATGATGAAGAAGCAGGTTGAAATATGTAATGATTATTTTCAGTGATTCTCCTTCCTAGAAACAGAATGCTTTTTCCACCTCTCCATGTGCTGTTTTCATTGACTGTAGGAACTGTGGTTGCCCATGAAATTATTGAGCCAAGAACATCTTTCTCTGAGGTCATATAGGAGAATTTTCTGTTACAAGGCTATAAGGAAATAAAGGCAAAATTTTTGGAAGGTCAAGTTTGGGTTTTCCGGGGCATGATTTTGATTTTGTAGGGAGATCTGGAAAGCCTGGAGCTTCTGCCATCTCCTTTAGTTTTGAGCCAGTGCTGGAAAAGTGAAGGTTGCATTGGGATAGTTCAGGAAAGTTTGCAGTGGGAGGTGTGAGAGAATGTTGCTGATTTGGAACTGGGATGCGATAGACAGCTCCTGTTACATGGCATGGAAAATACTTTCCTGATATGCTTGTCTTGTTGTGATGATGTCTGTAATAGTGATGACAGTGATGAGGAGGGTATCCAGGAGGAGGGGGACAGGGCCATCTATGATGGTGAGGAGGATGGTCGTGATCTGGTCCATGAGG